ATACATATACATATACATATACATTACATATACATATATAAAGTGCTTGTAAATCCCCTTTAAACATGGAATGATATCATTCTCCATGTGAACCCGTTGGAAATAATCAACATCATTATTTTAAATTACAAAAAATTGTTCGAACAAACAGTCTTTATTATTTAGTAGCGTACATACATAGGTGTCATTTACTGCAATTAACTAACACAGCGATTCTGGAAGCAGTTTTCCGAAATTTGAATAACAGTAATTAAATGGACACAACACAAATAGATATTCAGAATGCATAATTATCTTTAATTAGAATTGCTTAGATGAAAATTAGGCTTCCAACTGTTCGATGTCCATAAAAAGTGTAACCTATGACTATAGAAATGGAATTTGTTGTTGCATGATTGTACATATATATGTAAATGAGTATGTACCAGTATTGTACTATAATTTGCTATCTGCAGAATATAAATGTCGTTTTTGGTGTCCTTTGATGTTTTTATTTCGTTTCTAACGGTATTTACTTTTTTTAWTTTATTTATCATAGAGTTGCCATAGTTGCAGGTATTTGCTTTTCCAACCACTGTACACATACTGTTGTCTGAAAGTGCCCTTGAAAAAGTAATTCAACTACCCAAAGTATGAAAAATGAACTTTGCCTTCGCCGAAACTTTGCGGCAGTTAACAACACTTGCACTCGTTCAAGTGGCAACCGTCTACATAATGACGTATACGCGAATGCATATGGGAGCGTGTGTGTATGATATGCAATTATAYTTAAATTGTAGTACTTAAGCTTACTTTTATTTACGTTGCTGTACTAAATGTTAATAAAACTGCATGAAAATACGGAAAGTTAACKTGAAAAGTTCAAAGCTTTTGAAGTTAAAGTTTTTGCATTTTGTGCGTTAGTATATTTTTTCATTGTGCGATAAGTTTTAAAAGGCTTCAAGGTGTTCTCTAAGTAGAATTGACTTTGAACCGGGAACGGCTTCGATTGAATGCCAACAATATCACTCTCTGCACTTTGTAGCAAGACRAATCCACAAAACATTAATAACTTCTAACAAACATGATGACATTATCATTACCTGTATTTTCCGGTAACTTTAGCCAGAAGTAGAGCCCCAAATACCAGAAATCATTTTATCAATATTGTAGCGACGCAGAACTGATACGCTTGCAAATAAAGAAAGAATACGTTCATTTCATTTTGACTATAATGATTAGAGTTCCCTTGACTTCTT